CTTCATACCTTCTGAGTGACTGTTGTATTGACAAAAACAGGAAAGAACACTTTGTTGGGTTATTGCGATCGTAAACGGAGCATGAACTGCTTTATGTGACTTGGCTTCACATAATGGCAACAGTATTTCTGTGCCTGGATGCTGCTCAACAACTGCGTCTTCCTCATTTTGCCATGTTTCCTCCAATTCCCTTCATGTCTTCTGTGCTTGAAATAGCATAAGGGGACAGGAGGGAACTGTCTGGTTGCAGATCTCTCTGTAGCAGCGTGAAAGCCTACCTTTATCAAGATTAAACCCGCCAATGATCACTTTCCCCACTGTCCTATTTAGGCATCCAGACACCCGCGGGTTGCCAGGAAGCTCATGTTTAAATGAGGAGCCTCAGGCTCAATGAACAGAGAGCCTCTTTCACAATCAACTGACAACTATTCCCCACGTCTGATGTCAATGGACTGCCCTCAGCATTCTGGGGAACTGACTCACTCCAGCCCAGATACAAGAAACTGCAAACGGCAGAGCTTCCATGAGCGACGGTTTCCTGCTGAGGTGCCTGAAAAAACCAAGGTGAGGTTGTGTGGGAGGGCTCCTCCTCCGCCTGTCCCAGGGACGACATTACTATTATATTACTCTTCCTTTCTCGTCTTGAAATTACCAGCTCGCCTGCAAAAGGTTACTGTAAAAGCCTCCTATGAGAGCCAAAGATAACCAAAGATATGAACATTGGTTTTTCCCTCTTTGTTTATCCCAAAAGCAACAAGAGTGCTGCCAGGGGAATTTAAAATCCTTTTACCAAAATAGACCACAGCTCTGTCAAGGAGAACAACCTTTCAGTAAGTAATGACGAGAAGCCACTCCAGCCTCAAATTACTCCAACAAATGACCCAGCATACAAGTAGCCTAACTTTTGCCTATTGCCACATTTATCAATATTAGAGTGCACTCTGTGTCTGAAAGCCCAAGCATGGAGAGTGTTAATCTGAGAAGAACCAAGACCTCTGACTCCTGGATAACTCCATTTACCCTGTGAACATACAGTGGGGAAAGAAAAGAGAAGATGGGTGGGTGTGTGCATGTGTGTGTGTAGAGAGCAGCTGTGGAAAGGGCTGAACAGACATCTTTTGTCCCAATAATAGCTCCGAACCAGAGCAACAGTTTGCACCGAAGACTTCAACAGATTTAGAACTTTGTGATCATCTACACACTGGAAAGAAATACGTCTGTAACTTTCCCAACTGGAATAATACGATCACCGAACGTATCAACAAGACCGCAACATGGCAGATGCTAAAACTAATCTGATTCTCACTCCCGCCCCTTCACAGATAGGGAGGAACAGGGAAAAAATGTGTATAAGGCAGTGTGGGTGGTTGTTTTTTTACACCTTGCCACTTACATTAGACTTGCGAAAAGAAAGCGAAGTGAAATACATTATAGAACTGAGGGAAATACAGAAGTGGACACCGCCATGGCACAGTGGCCTCACTGCGAGAGGCAGTCCTCAATGCATCCTGAGGTCAACACTGCCAAGACCGATCATTAGTCACTTGTTGTCAGATAGATTTAACACACATACTGTAGGATCTATTCTCCCTTCCCTTCTTTTCTACTTTTGTCTCACTGAAAATTTCACTAGAATCACCTTCCAACTCCTGGGAATGGATGAAATGCAAACTTGGCAAATCCAAACATTTCCTTCTCAAACAAAAAAAAAAGAAAAAGTCCCCATAGCGTGCCTTTCCTTATGACCAAATCCTGAAACCGATCATGGCAGCTAACATAAACAAGCTACATGTGTTCTGCCCCCGCCTCGCTAACATAGAGGTCATCATTTCCGGTGGATGCAGATTGCATCGCGGCACTTACCCGAGGGCACAGGGCGGGTAATGTGAAGGCGTGGCGGTGTGGAATGTGTGGTTTGATCAAGGTTAAAAAGCAGCGTGTGACGTATGTCTGCGTGTGTGTACGTGTGTGTGTGTGTGTGTGTTATTGTCTAACCCCGAGGGGTGGCTTTCACCTGCCCAGTCCTTTCACATCAGAGAAGATTAACAGAAGAGGCAATGACAGAAGGCCTTTATGAAGTGATGAACTGAAAGATTCAAAGAATAATCTGTGGAAGAAAGTGCTCCTACCAAATCTTTGGACAGTCACATGCCTGTCAGCTGATAATTCAAGTGAATGGGGGTGAGTAGACGAGTGTGTGTGTGTGTGTGTGTGTGTGTGTGTGTGTGTGTGTGTGTGTGTATGTGTGGGTGCAATTTATGTACCTGCATTTGTATGCGTTGGGTATCCACATCGCAGACTGTGTGTCTTTGGTTAGTGCAGTGAGAGATGTAGCAGAATGGACACAGAGCCACCTGCTCTTCCTCACAGTGGAGCAGCCTGTACTCCTCATGGCTGGGACAGGTCCAAGCGCTCAGCTCCTCAGCGTCAACTAACAGGTGTCCCGGGGCTGCACATGGCTGCTGTAGGTGCGTCTGGATGTGAGTCTGGCAGCACGGCTCCTTACAGCGCAGGCAGACCTTCCGCACGGGCAGAGGGGGGCCTCGTCTGCAGAGGACACAGTGCAGCACAGCGGGGACTTTCTCAGTGTTCAAGGCATTAAACCGCTTCACTATGTTGGCGAGCTTAAAGTTCTTCTCCAGTGTGGGTTTCTGGTCGTAGTCATGGTTGCATTCGGGACAGCGGACCGCAGCGTTGTCTTTGGCCCAAGCCTCAGAGATGCAACCCTTGCAGAAGTTGTGCTTGCATGGCAGCTGGATGGGTTCCTCAAAAACATTCAGGCAAATAGGACACAGAAGCTCCTCTTCGAAGCAGTTTTTCCAACTTGCATCCATGACTTCAACTGGACCCAAACTGATGTCGTGTGACTAAAAAAAAAAAGGAGCAAAACTGAGAATTATTTTTCTAAATATAGATTAATGCTCTTCTTTGACATACATAACGAAATGCCTTTGTTAAAACTAACCCTACCACGGTCTTGTTTTCTACTTTACTTACAGAGAAAGACGAGGGCCAATCGAAACCGACAGGTGGAGAAACTCTTTAGGGGTAAAGGAGTATAAAGAGTATTACAATAACACAATTGACTAATGGGAGCATTAGCAGGCGACGACTGACTTGAAAGAAAACAGGATTAACTTAAACGAAGTGCGACCACAGGGGAAACTTCGACAACACACGCAAAACTACTGTAATAATAAAACAATTCACATTACATACTATGACAAAACAACATTTTGTATGTGAATTTGCGTTGGGGGATTCACAACAGGACGATACAAGGCTGTGGCGTTTGAAAGCAAGTGACAACTTGCTACAGAATGACGCTGGAAATGGGACTGTCTAATAAAATGTCACACCGGGGATACACTGACATTGTATCCAACGCGAAGACACTCCTGCCTGCTGTCATTAAAGCGAAACACGAGTCAAATGAAACGTATTAGATGTGTTATTATGGAAGAAAAGCAACGTTACCAACTATTTATTCTCCATGTCGTCGGCGGACTCCGGTGCACCTATAATGCCGTAGAGCTTTCGCATCCAGCCCGCGATGAGATCCAGTTCCTCCGGTTAGATTACAGCAGCTCTGTCCGACCTCAACGCTGGCAATTTATACGATTCCCGGCTTTTACTCGGCTGCTTTCGCTTTCCCGTCAAAACTCTATGAGTAATATTCAATGGTAAGCGCAGGCAGACTGTGTGACTCCGTCTGTAGGGAGCTTCAGTGCTTTCTCGCCGACTGCCCCCCTCCCGATAACGTGACCCGTCACAGAGTTGATAAATAGACGGGGAGGAGCCGACGAGAGGAGAGAGGCATTACTGGAGAGAGAGAGAGAGAGAGAGAGAGAGAGAGAGAGAGAGAGAGAGAGGACACAGCAAACTCTACCGGAGAGATTGTTAATGACCAGGAGAGACATTTGTGTGACCCGTCATCCTTTGCATCACTGGTTCCTGTAAAGTGGAGTCCTGGCTTGACTGGGATAGAGGCCCCCAGGGGCCCATGAGAGGGTTTGTGCATGAGGAGAGACACTGAATCACACATGGCTTTTTCTTTTGTGTAGACCCCCCCCCCCTCCTTTTTTTCTAAAAAGGCACAAGGGTTTTAAAGTTGTAATTAATTGGTTTTACCAATGATTAATATAGTTTTGTTAATGATTAAGTTAAATAATGTGTTATAATAATGTTATAAGAAATGTTTTGGGTTGCCAGGTTAGGGAAAAAATCTCTCCGGCTCTGGTTATTTTCCTACAGCATGGCATTTGCTGTTTTTTTTTTCTTTCTTTCTTACTAAGCTTTTAATTACTGGCCAGATTAACCTGTTAACCTGGGGGTAAAGATTTGCTGTTGGGCCCTTAGCGGCCCCCCACCTACTGCCCTGTGCAGTGTATGCAGTGTGAACAGTGCCCCTGTGCTATAAAAATACTTAATGTGTGTAAACAACATATAACATTTATGATAATGTGATACAGAGCCCCTCTGGAACACATAACAATGAAGAATTTAGTCAATGAGGCCTTTGTTGATATGTGAGTGGTGCTAACATACTAACATGCAGTGAACATGGAGCCCTCTTTGTCTGGTTGGTAATTCAGATGTAGGAAAACCACTCGTTTGGACCATTGGACCAAAATCCAATGAGAAACAACTTTTCTATGTTAAGATTGTATGGCTTATTAGAAAGTGAGAAATCCATGAGTATTTATTAATAGATGACCAACTGCTTTTACCACCATGAATGGGTCAACACCAGCCCAAGGGATTACTAAAGGCATCTATTGCCTCTATTAAGCATTAATGAATGATTTATTAACCATTCATTATCTTACTATTTATGGACCCTTCATTAAAAGGTGCCCTATTATTCCATATAGTAAATAATGTAGAGCATTATTTATGAAATCAGATTTGCATTAGGAATATTTGAAACAACCACACACAGAGAGGGGATAAAAGCGCTATATAAAATGCAACCATTAAGACACGAAGTTCCTCTGTAATTCTGTAAAGTTTTGCAGCTTTATTTGTGTAAATATCTACACTCTTTAATGCACTTGGGATTACAATCAGCGAGTTCAGTCAATAAGATAGGAATTACAAATTTCAATGATGCCTAAACTTTACATTTGTCACTCTGAATTTAAAAAAAAAAGACTCAAAAATAAGATGCCATCACATGTTGTGTAAGAGTACATTTTTGTAAGAAGACAGTAAAAGGAGTATTGTGGAGGAGTTTTGTTTTAGTGTTACACTGGAATGCACTGATGGTCTCAGAAAAAGACAATGAACGCAGCAGCCTCGATTCAGAGTACTGTCTCTAACAATCAAGGCAGTATTAGGAGTCAACAGAGACTATGTGGTCCTTTTCAACTCAAGGCACTCAGGCATTTTACTGACTCATTCAAGCAGGTCCTACAGATACAAAAAAAATACAAAAAACCACACATTTCATATTCATGTGGCCACTGGAGACAACAGTTGAGTGAGGCCACTGAACACAGATTCCCAGTCTTTGACTGTATACAACGGATTGATGTATTACATTTCATAAAAAACACGCATCATCATGCGTGACAAAACTCGGAAGAGACATTCAAAAAATATTACTCAATAAGGAGTCATGTTCTTGGCACAGGGGAGAAAAGGTGGTTAATACCTGCAGCATTTGCCAGATACGCAAACCATTCAGATTCTTGTGTGATTATCCGAGACACACACGGAGTGAATAATAGTTAATCATAGTTCAGTCTGCCTATTATTTCAGAATAATGACACATTGAGAGACGCAGACAGTACTGGCAGCGGACTGCCAACAGTTAAAAAACTTTGGTATGACCACAAACACATAAGAGAAAAATGTCCAGCATTTGTAAATACTATACACATGAGCTCAATTGAAAAAAACACTGATAAAAAAGGTTCAACATGTGACTTTTCCTTCCTTTCTAAAGGCCAATGGAATAAATAAGGATGCATGGTCAACTGGATTAATCACATATATTTTGGACCTCAGACGTTGGCGGGCCTAACGACATCCTGTTTTTCCCTACAGCTAGTGTGTCACCTGTAATGATTGTTCTTATAGGTCAACCATCTGGACAGGCTGGTTTCAGGCTGCTTTGACATCCTCCAAAAGCATTCAAGCCTCAGAGAAACGTAAACAGCTGGGTCAGTCTGAGAATGCAGGAACAGTCCAAAGTGTTTAGTTCATCCCTCAGATCATCTTCAGGAGTGATACAGTCTGTGGCCATCCACTGAGGGAACAACATATGTGTGCGCACAGACAACTCAGGGTCGCTGCCTGTCCTGGGAGGTCTCCTGTTCATGATGGGCCACTGGAAGTGTGTGTCTGCAGGTGTTTTTGTTGGTATTTTCTAGTGATTAAGTGTCTCTGTTTCATTGCAGTGGATTATCAAACACGGAGTCTGGTAGTACAGAGATCTTCAGCTTCTTTTCTGGCCAACTGTACTCCTTTGGTAACTTTGTCTGTACAAAGAGAAAGCACATAAAAAGGTAAAACAGGCAGGCAGTCCCAACAAAACCAAAATCAAAACAAAACTTAAACTACAGGGGATTTTTACATACCTCCTCACGAGTGTTAAGTTCCTGTAAATCCCCAAGCATCTGCTCCACAAACTCTTCAGTCAACAGTATCTATACAGGGAGAGCAGAAGGTCAAATAAATGCATTAAATATGACAGCAACACATGGAAACTGTGTGTGTGTGTGTGTGTGTGTGTGTGTGTGTGTGTGTGTGTGTGTGTGTGTGTGTGTGTACCTGAAGCCAGGGACCATGGGCTGCATACGGATGCTCTTCAGTAGCAAAAGCTCCTTCGACTCCCGTAGATACAAATGTGATGGCTGTGTCTCCATTGATACTTTTGTAAGTGAAGTGTCTCCCGTGGAGCAACCGACCCCTGTTAAAGATCAAACATAGCACAGTATGAATAATTCACCTGTTGAAGAAAAACAATGCAAGGAGCAAAATATGTATATTATTATGAGAATTAAACTTAATTTAGCATTTTTCTTAATGTGACTTTATAGATTAATTTCTGTGAGTAACATTTTTCCATCAAGATGGAATCTAAAGAAGTGTATTTAAGATATTTGAATCTGCAGCAATTATGATAATGTACGTTTTATAATATTCACTGGTAACTACTTACTAATTTCTTCTAGTACATACATCAATACAGTCTATCTTTAATATGTCATCTTAAATTGGGTCTGGTTGGGTCTACTGCATAGTGTAGTAGATTTTCACAACCTTTTTGGATATCAAAAGTTACATTATTTGTCAGCAACATTTGATGTATCATGTTGGTATAATTGGGCCCTTTACACCGTGTTTGCTCTGAACTCCCTGCACATCTCTCTCACACACAAAATGTCAAAGTCTCTGTCAACTATCTCTTGACTTGTTCTCTCCTCAGGTAGAGATTGCATAGAGTGTAAGTTCATCCTCGTCTACCGCCTGTGCAGAGGAGCATTTATTAAAACCCTGCAAGTTCCAGTTGCTTTCAAGGTACTTTTGTCTCTGAAAACACATTCCAAAAAATGTCACATGTTCCAAATAAGGGTGAAAACCGAGCCCAGACAGTTATTAGCCACAGGTGTGTAAATGTCACAAGACACAAAGCATTTCAAAGCAACAACTCAACTGTCATTTGTTTTGTCACCATATAATGTAACAACTTTCAGTCTTTTTTGTGTCTGTGTTATAAGTTTTCTTTTTTGATTTTCTTTATGTCTGTGGAACTTGTACTAAGTTGGTTGACATAGTGAGGATCCATTGATCAAGAGTTACCTAACGCACAATAATAAGGGAAACTTTATTACAGAATTTACAATTGCTGAAAATCCCAGTTTTAATTAAGCAGCAATGACCTTTATCCTTATAAAGCTACTTTCTGACTATTGACACAATTCTGGATGGGTAGGCGAGCAGTAAAGCGAGTCAGTCATTCTACATGAGCTGTGTTGACTTCAGTTATTAAATTATGCTGTCAGTGTACAGGAATAACCTTTGCCGACTTCCCTAGTTCGCCAAGGATCAGGAAAGAAAGTGAAAATGGTAAACCTATTTACACAAAACATACAGACACATAGTGACCAACAATACATTTATGATGGTCACTTTATTTATGCCATAGGTTCCCATTTGAAAATGTTCAGCTTACTTAAAATAGCACTGGAAAACTCTATTTTCTTCACACTTTGAAGTGACACATCACAGTGAAAGTAGCTGGAGGAAAATCTGAGTTTGGGACTGACTTTCAGAAAGCCCCCTTCTCACTTCTAAGAAACTGGTGTCAACTATGTTTTTGCTCTGGTGTTTTATTAAAAGACATTCTGCCGCAACTATCCAACACTACCGTTTGAGCTATTTATAATCTGTCTGTCTTAGGGACATTCCAAGGGGGTAAATGTGTGTGTTAGTAGGAAAGAAAATGGTTCAGTACCGCAGGCAGAGGGGCAGCAGTGTGCCTGACTCTTGGTTGAATTTCAGATGGACGCTCTCCAACTGTCGTGTTCGGACCAACTCATGAGGAACAATGGCCGCTGAACTCTCACTCTCCAAACTGTCCTTCCGACTCCTGAGAAACAGACAAAGAGGAGAAAAGAAAGAGTAGAAGTATCAGTGAGGAAGTCTGATATTGTACAACATGCAATGAAAGAATGGCTGTTGAGGGAAATAGCAGCTCCTTGGCCTTTGTATTGCAAATGAGAATACACAAGTACAGATTTGGCAACTCCTGTCCATAGAGCTATTACCTGATTCTGTGGAAAAGGCAACAACTTCCACAGAAAACTAGCAACAAATTAGTGACAAACCACTGTAGTATGCTGGTAGCTAAGAAACACCTGTGACAACAGTTCAAATATCTGTTGTGCTGTGAGTCACTGCAAACAGTTGAGGGAGTTATCCTGCTGCAGCCCTTGTGCTGAGCTGAACCCATGTTAGTGTGCTTGTGTTGGTGTGTGGGAGGAACACTCACTGAGGCCTCTCGTGGCCCTGTCTCTGGCTGTTGATAGGTGGAAGCGCTGCCTTGCTGTTAAACTCCAGTCCTTTTCTCAAGGTCTCCCTGATCTGCTCTGTGTCTGTCAAAACGGACAAAGATCAGCATGGAATTATCCCATCATGCACCGCTGACAGCATGAAACCAGAACTTCTTTGAACAGAGTGGTTAAGCATTCTTGGATCAGTCTTAATTAGCGGATTGATTCTTTTCACTCCTCTGGGACTTGGCATACCTTTGTCTGAGAGCCTCCGTGGCTGTGATCCTATGCAGATGGATCGGCTGTCCTCCTCGTCCTCTGGTGGTCGGCTCAGATCGTCCCACACACACTTGGCGCTGACACCACTCAGGTTAGAGCCCTCTGTCTCGATACCCTGGTCCACTCTCTCCTGCTTAGATGAGCAAGAAATATATACGCAATCATTAACACTAGTTCACATAAGGGGAACATTTTCAAAAATGAGAAGACATTGCAAAACGATTTATGTGCCAAAAGGGGGCGCTAAATACTGTCACAGGGCAAAATAATACTACACTATCTATTTGGGGTTCCCTTTAAAATGCTTTGTGGATGTAAAGGTCACTTTGCTTCTGATATCCAGGACAAATCCTTGACTTGTTCCAGGACAGTTCTAGTTAGCACTGCAAGCTATAAATGGCTTTCATTTCATCTATTTATATCTTTATATATGAACAATCAGTTTCCCTTGGGTCACTTTAAACTTAACTCTTCACAATTAAGCTACACTTTTCATGTCCTACAATTTATCCAATGACAGGGTGTCACAACAACTCCTTTACACAATATTATAGTAGACTGCAGTGATGTTACACAATTAGTCTGTCGAAAGTTTAGCATCATTTCTATACAAGAGTTATCAATGCCCCTGAAAACAGAACACAAAATAATGATCTGCATATCTAAAAAGTATAATACACAAGCAGCTAGCAGTGGAACATAAGCGTGCCCCTTATGTTACACACTATAAATACAATATTTTGCACTTAGCTAAGTGTACAGAACTTAATAAAGCCTTACTTGTAGGTGTGGATCGATGTCAAAAATAGTCTCCCCTCTCCTCATGTCTGTAATTAGCCAGGGGCCACCAGCTCTGTGCACAGGACAATCATAAACATTAGTCCCACACAGCAGTGAGTTAATAAATGAACAAGTGACTATGCGCTTTACTTGCTGCTCACAACATATTTGTCAAACTGGACTCCATACACTTTACACTGGAGTGGCATTGATGTAACCATATGTTCAGTTCAATTTAGAGGCAGATATAAATATTCTGTTAAAATAGATATTGAATTAATCTATAATTGATTTGCTACCAAACAAAAACAGAGTTGGTCTGCATTATGAAACCTAAGGATATGAAAAAGCACCAGAAAATGAGATTTTCACACACACAAATGCACAAAAACGACAGATAATGACTTAAAGCATGTGTCAAATCAAGTTATATTTACTGTAAATCTATACTATCACATACTAGAATTTCTTAGACTGACATTATATTGACATACCAATCCTAAGCTATGAAACAGAACTACCCTAGCCTGGTCTGACAAATGAACAATCACTTACAAAACAAAGTTATATAAGAATAAGCATAACAGAGAATGTTTTGAAATGTAAAACTTGGCTTCCCTATCGAGCCGAACCATATACTGATGCACACACTCACACTCTGACACCACGCATCAGCTCCAGGATGCCTTGGCCGTTCCACTGTTGGGCCGCTTGTAGCTCCTCTGTACATACACCCACAATCTATAGGAGACAGTGCAGAGCATTGAACAGTGTGGTCTACAATCTTCTTACATTTTGAGGGATATATTTTTACTTGGATTACAGAAAGTATTTTCTTTCATGTGTTAACTTTTACTATTTTGGTTTGGTATTTTGACAGTAAAGTTTAAAATAACCACCAGTGTCCTGCATTATCATCACTGATATTAAATTGTAGAACTACTGTCCTCCCCATCTCTCCTAATGCTGGTCCATGTTTAATCCAAATGCTCAATCCAAGTATGTTACAGTAGCCTGTTGTCAGCTTCAATTTAGTGAGGAAAAAATGGCTCGATGTGAAATTATACATACAATATGTTAATATTACCTATTTGAACTCACCTGGAGAAAGCTCACTGTGCCAAATGGTGTTTGAACTGCTTGCATCTGTGGGTCCTCCGTAAGCAACATATGCTGGATACGAGACTCACTATTGTCCAGTGGACTGTGCCACGATACGTGATCGCCGCTACAAAAAGTGTTTTCTGTAGAAGAGAGACCAAAAGGAGACGTTCATTTTTAAAGTATGACAAAAGATGCAGTTTTAAGCTGTCTAGAATACACTCAGTCGTGAGTGTTAGTCTGCAGAGTGCATTTGGGCTTGTACCTTCAGCCACCAGTGGGAAGCAGTCCTACTTTCCTTCTTTTCATTATCTGACAGTACAGAATCGCTGAAGGAAAGTTACAGTAACAGGAAAAGAGGGGACACAGATCAGCAGGAGAATGAGTAAGTGAGAGAGAGAGAGAGAGAAATCAGGACCCAAATGTGGCAAAAAAAAGCATAAAAACTACATTTCCATCTGAGGAATGTGTCTGCTTGGGAGGTAACGTGTACCCAGTCCAGATTCGCTGCAGGAGAAAAGCGAGGGGGAAGATGGCCAGGATTTAGCATTCATTTAACTCAGGAGCCCAGCCCACCCAAGCGCAAATTGACCCCAGCTGGATAGCAGAGGAGGGTTGGGTGTTGGGAGGAGAGGCGAGCCGGGAGAGAATAGCCTTCTTCTCTTTCTGCGTGGCTTTTAAATGCCCCCTCCTCTTTCTCAACCACACTTTCTTGTGCATATTATATACTCAACTGAAGAACTTAGCAGCACAGTATTTACACATTACACACAGAGTATACATTCACACACACTGCAACAACGGTCTTATTTACCATTTTAATAGGATTGTTTTCACAAATGGCAATGGGGAAATCAGACTTCCTGTCAACACCCAGAGCTCCAACAAACACAAATGATGTGTACTAAGCCCAGGACTGCAGCCTGCAGCGGACCCCTCTATTCTATTCTGTTTAAATGTATCACTGGAATTACAAGCCACCTTTACAAAGAACACATTCTTCACTTTCACAAAGACGTGACAAGGAGGCATGGCAACTGCAGCCAAAGGGGAGTTGTCCTATCAAAACGTTGGCAGAGAAATAATTTACCAGACTATGAACAAACTGTGACTAAAACACAAAGCATTACTCTTTGACTCAAGTTTTCCTGTTTCAACCATGCTTGTTTAGTCTGACTAATAACTAAAAATACTCCTATATGGGGTATGTTTCTACTATGATAAATAAAATCTATCACTGGAAGACATATTATAATTTGCCTTCTCTTAACTGTCATTATTGTTGCAAGACTGTCCACAATTAAGTTTTTCAAACAAATGTACTTTTTGTTTTACAACAGAGTAATGAGGATAAATGACTCTGGCCTTTACCTTGATGTGTTTTAATACGTAGCCTACTTGATGCAAAACATAAGTCCTGTTTTGTTTTGATTGCAGCCCCTCCCCGCCCCCCCACCCCAACAAAAAAGCTGCTACTCTCTTACCTGACTGGAACACATAGCGAGCCAAGCCTTGCATGAGTTCAGCTGGCCAGGTTGGTGGTGCCGTCTCTCCCACCTCTCTTTTGAGTCTAAAAGTGAGCTCAAAGCCAAACCCACTGGGTCCGTCTGCTCCTGTAAATCTACACACACACACACACACACACACACACACACACACACACACACACACAGAGTAAGAAACTGGGTAAACAAACCTTCAGAAGCTGTACTTGTATTCCTTTGTTATATGCATGAGGGTTGTGAAAACCACAATGCTTGTCAGGATCAACAGCATGCTATAGAATAATAAAGGATCATTAGGGGCCATGTAAGTCAGTAGGTGGTCTACTCTTAAAAGGGCTCCTGACATAAACAAATATTTACTTCATGTGAAGTACACATTACCCAGGTTTTTCACAATATCAAATGAACTAAATGAAAGCGAGACCAAGAAAAGCTCTTCAAACTATCCCATGAAACATGTGTGTCCCCCCAAACTCCTCTGTGCAACTACAAGTCAAGTAGTTACAGTAGTGTACTTACTCATGAACCCTATTATCCCCATACAGGTCACTCAGTCCAAAGCTGACATAGTGCCAATGCTCCTGGATGTCCTGAGCTGGACAGCCCATACTCCTATACATACTGATGTAGTCTAACGGGTCTGGTCCCCCTAACCTGTGAGAAGCACAAAAAAACGAGAATTATCGGCCATGTCACAAATAGTTTGTTTACTCTTCAATACACCTATAGAAAGACTGTTAGCTCAGCTAGGAGGCCATTACGTGTGTAAAAAGTGGTTAGATACATTTAAATGTACGTGTTTTTGATTAGGCTGGCTAGTATAGTTTGGTACTGAATCATCAAACTCTCCAAAACATAGTTAGCAGTTCCCATTAACCTACAGTGTGGCTCCTGGATGCAGTTAGCCTCAAGGTTAGCTTAGCAGCTAACTATCAGTCGGCCGGCCATCACAACATAAAACTTCTTCCACAACTTCTGTGTTTTTACAAGTGTGTCAGACGCGCCACAGCAGAACAAGGCACCTACCAATATTTTACAATGGCCGTGACTTGAAGCGGGTTAGCCTGCTCCGGGTAAAGTCTCCGACATTCCCCGTAGATAGCCTGCAGTCCAGGAGGAAACAGCGGCACCAGCCCGTGGGCTGCAGCACCACTGGTAGGCCGTACCTCATCCATGCCAAGGCCTCGAACAAAGCTGGTTCTTCTATTAAAAAAAAAAACCCACAATGTATATCTTCTGCTATCTACCCCCCGGTTCAACAAATATGAGACAAAACTAAACCATAAAGGCCTCACTGTCGTAATGTTGGCCAAAAAGAAATATCGGTTTATCGCACCGATCGTTGTGCTTCACTCCACAGGGGCACAGCCTGTTGCTCATCCGCCTCAAAAAAAAATACTACATAGCCATTGGTTGGATGGGGGTCGTGACGTATTTGACTGACGGCTAGAATGGCCAATGAGGAGTGAGAGTTTAGGATTCTGTTGGCTCGTAGAGGACTATGATTGGCTGACACGCTTGTCAATCAAAGGGAATGGGGACTCACAGTAAGCTGTGATTTTAAGGCTCGGTGGCGTCAAAGGTTTTGCAGGGGGCCAAATGACGGACGTATGGGCCAAAAGGGCGAATTTAAAGGACAAAGTAGCATAAAAATCTTATCTATATTTAAATAATTTATATATTAAAATAGACACCTCACAACTGTATCTTCTTAAGGAAACAACTTCAGTAAATGTACTTGGTTACTTTACACCACTGCAACTAATGTTTATTACATATTAAATAGCATTAGTTTGGCTGTTCTATCCATCTGTTCATAAACTCTTAGTCCAGAAAGCATGAGCATTTCATAAAAGAAAGTATAATTAATGTGAAGGAGCCCATCAGTCAGAGAAGTGTTATTGGCATTTCTCGTAGGTAGATTAAAAGAGTTCAGTCAAATTATATCTTCACTTTCAGGGTAAATTAATCATCATAACACCATTATTATTTTGAAAGGGAATGTGGTAGTTGTACAGCATACGCTACAAGGATCAATAATCTGGTTGCTGCACAGACTATTGATCCTTGTAGCGTATGCTGTACAGTGCATGTTTTAAATAAGACTATTTAAAACGGGCATTTCCAGACACTTATATCATGAGAAAACAAGCCCAATGTGCTACGGTGAGGAACTTGAGTATCTTTTTTTTTTTTATCCTAACTTCCGTGATAAGAGATAGTCATGGCACTGTCATCTCTTTCATAATACTGAATGCAAGAGTAGAGCCACAGTAAGCTAGATAGTGTTTTTATCAGCCAACAGGTTTCCTGCCGGGCAAAGATAATCTAGGCATCGTGGTGTCAGCCTTTTTTCACACATCCTTTCCTTACACCTTGATATTCTTGTACATATTACATTGTTATGTACAAGAGAGAGATGTTTCCATTACACCATCACCGTCATATAGCTCGAACCACGATGGTGAAGTGCACTCACTACTATGGACCCTCTCCTGTAATGTTAAATTTATGTAGGAGATGTGTGTGTGTAAATTCAGCAGTCATGACCACTCATGGCTGCAATCCCAGAATGGGGTTTGGTTTGAGGGCTTCACCACCTAAAAAATGAATGCTTTCTTTGGGATACTGGAGAGAGTAATGGTCCTGTCATAGAGCTGACAGAGATTATCAGGAGGTTTCTGTCTATAGTACATAACATATCCAAGACTAACTTTGAGACACTACAGATACCACTAAAACAACTGCTTTCAATCAGTACTGGTAAAACTATCTATGATTGAGTCCTCCTCTCTTTAAAGTCTGTATAACAATGTGCTGTTTGGTGTATTTTATACTTCAATAGTTGCAGCTGGATATTATGTTAGATTCCTATTATACTGTAATTGAAAAGGATGTTGGCTGTCATATCTAATCATTTTGTTAATAGCTAATCTAGCTGCCATCACCATGGCTGCAGATTTTATGGCACTAGAGCTAAGATCTGAAAAAGAAGAGGTTTGCACGTGTGGGTTATGTGCGTAGCACGGTGGCCATTGTATTCCTATAAAATGATGGTCCTTTAATGCTGTATTACTTAAATGTTGCAATATTTTAAAACTTAAACAAAATTATATCAGAGTTAATAAATGACAGAGAAAAAATATTCACTTTGATTTATACTTTATTAACAATATACAATATGCTTAACATCAACTTTAAAAACCATTAAATGCAAGTTAACTCCTGGTTCATCACGTGGAGAAAGGTAACAATACACACAAACATATAAAAGTAATGCGTAGTAAACCAAAGACATGCTGAAATGAATGTAAGCCACACAAGTATTAGTGCTTTCTGATGGTTATGATTTCCGCTCTGTGGTGCTGTGCCGTGAGGCTGCCAAACTAGTACCATGCCAAAAGAACTGAGCCCATAGATGACACCTGAAGATGCCACCATCTATGGAATTCAGTTCTCATAGTAGAGCACTTATCAAAATGTGGTCCTCGAGAGCCTCATGATCAATGAATGGCTTAATCATTTGACACTCATGCTTCATTATTCATGATATATTCTCTCAGTTCTCACAAGTAACTTAAAACTAAATTAAAGCCATCTATATCATGTAAATCGTCATTAAAAAGGTATGAAATCACCAATAAAAGTGGATTCAGGATATATAACATGAGCAGCACACTGAGATGAAGTCACTCACAACGTCCCTATTTCTCAAGAAAGGCAGGCCGATGATGAAACGATAGCGTCAGCCCTACTTCTTTCATTGGAAGATTGAGCAATAGGTTACTGCAATGGCAACTACAGTTGATCTTAAACAGCAATGAATCATAGTTGGCATTTACATTATACGGTATTGCAGTATGTCATTTAAAACATCTACTTTTTCATAAATTGGCAACAGACTGAGAGGCACTTTATGTGAAATAAGTGAAATATGAAAAACCAAAGTGGAAAACAAACCTCCAGAATGAAGTTATGATTGAATGGATCTAATGCTGCGGTTAGGCAGAGCGTATGGAGAGTTTTAGGGTCATCTGAGGAATCTTTTCAACCTAAGTATTCCTGGAAATGCTTCACAACCACTGAAATGAAAGTCTGATGCAAGCACTGAATCAGACCATGGTGATAGTGCTCCGGTCAAGGAATGAAATGACTCATCAGTTATGGCCGTACACTCCCCGGAAAAGAACTTTGGGACAATATGATTACTGACATACAGTTGATGTATCTTTGAACCCTCCAAAGTAAGTTTGCCATTAACCGACCTGTGTTGCATTACAGGATCTCCTCCATCTAAAAAAAAACAACCCCAACCTCATTCAAGGTCTGCAGTCAATATTGACAGTGAAGTACAGTACAATGTTATCTCTGTCACTGTGGTTTATTCAGTTTGAGTCTGTGAATTCTTTTAAGATTCATGTTATACAGTACAATGAACTTTCTAAGGAAGGCCACACCTGAACACGTTCAGGAAACTCCTATCTTTCCGGCAGTTGGACGAGGAAACAACCGGTTCTGCAGCCTATTACTGGACAAGAAATCCCTTATTAGGGCATTAACCCATTCTTTAAGCCTGTATTCATTTAAGCAGCTGCTATACAAAGATTGGCTTGGTTAACACAGGCCGGTGCTCAGAAAATGTGGAAGTTGGCACTTCTTTGTAAGAACTCTTTCTACCTATTAAAACATTTCACAACTTAAAATATGTTGAAAGTAGCTTGTAGTTTTATGTACACACATATTCTGACAATTTAGACAAAAATGTGTCCAGCATCTTTTTTTAATTTGATCGTAATTTGACCAGTTTTCTACCTATCCCTATACCTTTCTTTATACTTACCCCAGAAATTCACAGAAAATGTTCTTTCCAGATCTTCTAATAGAAATACATCTCCTCAAGGCGGCCTCCCAGGACTGTGCTCTCGCAGAGTCGAGCCTCAAACACACTTCAACGGTCCAATCGCAACAAAAAGATGTTTAAGTGTTGAATCAGCAGCAAGTCTTCCAAATCTGAATGAACATACAGCGCAGCCATCCCTCCCCAGTTCACCTGCACATTCTGCTCACTCTCCCATGTCCTCTAAGTCCCAAGGAAGGATACAGCATACTGTCTGACATTCACAGAAAGGAACCTTAAATACCACCACCTTTCACATCACCCATCAGTCGCCCTCCCTCCCTCTCTATCGGTTTCTCATACACTCCCTCCGTTCGGTAAGCCTGACAGTCACTTCCCAGTAAGAAGGAAACAGTGGGAGTGAAGAGCACGCCCCCTCACAGTGAATCAACACATAATAGTTTCTGAGGAAAACCATCTGAGTGGCCCTGCCCCCTGTTCCCATAAAGTAAGCAGGGGAAAGGCTGTGTCTACTCGAGGAACCAGGAATTCCCCCACAGGCCGTGAACAGCTGTCGAGATGAGAGACTATGACGAAGCCGTCACACTGGAAGTTTGCTGCCCGCGTACATGCAAACAGAAACCGTGTTTGGTGTTTGGTATTAGTGTAAAAGTGAAATAGTGTTTAACACGACAGTATGTTTACATAATAAGTGAATGGAAATTCTGTCCACAAGGCCTGGGTGTTGAAATGCACAGTCATGTTTGAGCTGGTGACAACATGTTTCCTAGAAAAGTGTTTTTATCTTTGCTCAATATTATTTATCAGCGGGGCGAGCGCACACTGCTTGCGTCATGGGCATGTTTAGGATGAGATCAATTCATGCGAATATTTGTGTAGCTGGAGTCATCATTTATTCAGGTGAGGCCTGATAGGGTTGTATTAATATCACAGCGTTCATAAAAATAACTTTGTTTGCCGTCTGGTCATAGTTAAACATGGTGACGATGTGATACTGGTCATGAATATGACAGCACTGGGACAGCCGGATAAAAAAACACAGACTTTAAACACACCAGCGGCCCGTAATAGTTTCATTGTTCACTGACCCTGTAAAAACCCTCTGATTTCCTCATCCTCTTTACCTAGTCGAGAAACTACCCCGGACTTCACGCATACTTCCTCAGAAAAAAAGCCCTGTTCAATTAATTCGACTTATTTCCTTGATCTGGACAAAAAGGGGAATCCAGATGCTGTTGGAAAGATTACAGCAGTTCCCTTCTTGTACTTGGATGCGTATTTGCACACATTTCCTGGATGTATACACTCATTATCATGTGTCATGTCCTTTTTGTTATGCAATGGAGCACACCCAGATTATGTAGTGGCTTAAACTGAAGGTAAAAACCCACAGAAGCACGAGGAGCCATTACTCGAATAAGAGGTACAGAGACCCCATAGAGTCCCGACATTGATGTGCAGTGACTCTAGACTCCACTTTCAAACTACATCCTTGGGCTGGTGGGATAAGTTGCAATTGACATTTTGCGCCGGACTTCAGAAACAAGCCTGGCTTTCATGCTGCTGTTTGAACACTGGGGAAATCACTCACAAAGGTCACTGAGCCCATTTCCTTTCTTTCCTCCCCATGCATCTAAAGACCTGTAACAGCCCCTTTCAACTGCACTTCACTTGCTGGCAGACATATTCAAATTTCTATATAGGAAGTGAAAGAAGGTGTAGGTAACCAAAGAGCACATAGGAGATGAGACAGCATTTTTTATTACAGATTTTCCTTGTTCTTTTAACAGAGCACAAAAGTCCCTGACAGGTATTACACGAATAAAACTGCATATTAAATCCTGTACTTCACTTATTCAAGTGTCCTTTGCCACTTTAAAACGTAGGACAACCACATGTCTCTGTAGTCCTTCTTCCCCATCCCAAAGGTGTTTCAAGGAGAAAATACCCCTCTTCTCCACGAACGTCTCAAACAGGTGCAGCCCACCACCTACGCCAAAGTAGTGGGATTTGGTGGCGAGGTAGACGAGTCCACCCGGTGCCAGCAGTTTGTGGAGGGTCTCATGTAGCGTGGGGTAGTATGCGGTGTTGTAGATAGTCTCTGAGGTGAATATAATGTCATATTTGGGTTGTGGGTCCTCCTTTTTGACCAAAGCTAGAAACGTGCTCCAGTCGCCAGAGAAAAACGACACTTGGCTAGTAATGGCTGCTGGGATAGGTCTATGGCTCTCTTCTTAGGTGGTGGGTTTTCATCTTGTTTCTCTTTCACCTTCTTTTTACAGCCATCTTCCTCCTGTATTTTTCCCTTGCCCCTCCCTTCTTCTTTGTCGTCTTCACTGTCTACTTCATCATCTTCTTGGCAGTTTAGCATTACATTTGGCACTGTGAGTTGTTCAACAACTGTACTGTTATAATCTTGGAAGTGGACCTGCTTGGCTCCTCTTTTCAGAGCCAATATCCCTAACAGTCCTGCACCACAACCCAAATCCAAAACTGCCTTCCCCCCAAAGGTCTCTCCGTCTTTCTCAATCAGCTCTAGAAGGTCATAAGTGCACTCCCACACCTTCAGCCCTCCCTCGTACACGCCAGAGATGAGATCAGACCTCTGCTCCGCAGTGCGAGAAAGGATTCTTTCCCCGTCCTCTCTCTCTGAGGCCGTCTTTTCAAAAACTGTTTCGTTGAGAAAGTGAAGGGGAGGAAGAGTTCCTATGGTAACCGTTTCAGTGACAGCATCTATGAGGAGCAGCTGTGGGTCAGATAGTGGAAGGTGCTCTTTGGCTTCCTTTACTGGCTCCGATGGTTTGGTGTCATCCTCCTGAAAATATAAAGCATTATGCATGGTTAGGGAACAAATGTATTCCCTTAGCTACACGTGTCTGGTATGACAACAAGGGAGCAACATGTGTTTTAAGTTGAGGCCATAACAGTATGACCACCTGGGCACCCTGGTGTGTTCTGACTCCTTTCTATCATTAACTTTTCCTGCAATTTGAGCTACAGTAGTTCTTCTGTTGGATCGGACCACACGGGCCAGCCTTTGCTCCCCACGTGCATCACTGAGCCAGGACCCTGTCTGCAGTTCATTGCTTTTCCTTCCTTGGACCACTTTTGATAGGTACTGACCACTGCAGACTGAGAACACCCCACAAGAGCTGCAGTTTTGGAGATGTTCTGACCCAGTTGGCTAGCCATCACAATCTGACCCTTGTCAAAGTCGCTCAGATCGTCACACTGCCCATTTTTCCTGCTTTTAACACATCAACTTTGAGGACAAGATGTTCACTTGCTGCCTAATATATCCAACCCACTGACAGGTGCCATGATAACCGGATAATCAGTGTTATTCAGTTCACCTGTCAGTGGTCATAATGTTATTGCTGATCAGTGTCAATCAGCAATAGACAGAGGCATGTGTTCCTTGAAGCAAATACATATTGTATGACATTTTCAGATAGAACTGATGGTGGTTTTGGGTCTTCTTTGGATTTTCCGACAAACGGTGGGTGTCATAAATGTTGAGTTGTATTAAAATTAAATATTAAAAGGTGGTGCTGAACAAAATCTTACTAAGTTAATGTCTTATTTTCCTTTTAATTCTTAGGGTTAGGGTTACTAACCATTATAGTGGTGATGTTGAAACAAAGCCTTTTGAGTCTATGATAAGACTAAAATGTGTTACAATTGGTCCACAACTACAGCTTTCAGTTTTAACGAGGCTCATGTGACATCTGCTGAGGAAATGAATGTTTTGAGGTCAAATGAGGCAGAGGCTCTGTTATTGAGGATCTTTCTGAGTGTGAAAACACAAAAAACCTGTAATGGATTCTAGCAGGTCTAGTGTTTGACTGAAAGTTAATTGGGTTACCATGTTGCTATAGTAGATAGTTTGTAGTATCTATCAGTTACTTAATGCTTTATTTGGATAGTCTGACTTCTATCTATGTCACAATTCATGAACATACCTTAACTCAGATGTGTGCCTAAACCAAACTTCAACCACAGTAATGTAATGTTAGAAAACAGTTGTGGAATCTCAACTAATGAGGTGCTGAAATCTATGGAGGCGGACTATCCAAATAAAGTGTTCCTGCTCTCACCTCTGTAAAATGTGCTCTTCTAACAAAAAATGAAAGACCGTTTGACTGGGTGATGAACTCAGACACAAGACTGTTACAAATGAGCCATGTGAATTTGATTCATTGTGGGACTGAAACACTGTTTGCAAATATCATGTGTCACGCCCACCGGATAAAAATGCCTTAGATGCCTCAGAACTTTAGTGTCAGGCAATAAAAAACAGCTTACTATCAGTTTGAACTTGCATGATTTCCGCTATGGCTTTTTGTTGACATGCCTCCGCCCTGTGACATCAACACTCGTAGGCACTGAGCAAGGAGACTGTCAACCTACGCTCTCTAGTGGATGCACACCTGAAATTACTTAAATAATCTGTATATTTGTGTAGTGTGTGTATTAAAGAGGAGGTGTGTCCATGCCCTTTTCTTCTGTTGTTTTTTTTACTTTCTCTGTATCTATTGTAATAAAAAAACAGATCTCTTTCAATAGTTGGCTAACTCTTGAAATCAATACTATTCTATCTATATATCTATAAACTATAACCTGCTAAATTAAAATGTTTGTGCTCATAATGGGTAAATGCCACATTAACATGAACTGAAAAAACAAAAATGTTCCTAAACGTTTGGTGGGTTTCACCTGCAAACCTTGATACAGAAACTGTATCAAGTCATGTATCAGTTCTCTTTTTTTTATGAGTTTACTAGAGACTACTAATCTGTTCAGTAATTTAATTTTAAACCCTTTGAATTTAAGCTTATCTATGTATATATAAATGCACTGAAGGCCATAAAGTGCTATAGTAAGTGGACCTTGAGTCAATATCTTTTTATTTTACAATTGTTATGCATAGTTTTACTCTCTTGGCTTTAGTAACGCACCGATATATCGAACCAACACATCGGTATCAGACCATATTGTTGACTGACACTGTACTACTGGCAAATAACATTACATTCATAATTTCAGTGCCCAATATTTGTCTATTTTGCGCTGGCTAAATGTTGTGTTGGTTATTTTCACCTCCGTTTTTTTCCGGAAATAGCACAAATTACACCTTAATACCAAAGTGCTCCCTGCAGCAGCACAGACAGTGAGCGGCTGTTCAGCTCTCACATCTCAATAAGAAGAGAAATCGACTGAATTGCAACATGGCACAGATGCTTATCTTGTAGATTTCCTAACATCTGTATCAGGTATGGCCATCAGCCAAACTGTAATGTGGAGGGCAAAGGACGTTGCCATCTATAAATGTGAATGCAATGTTGATGTTGTACAGTAATAGGGGTGTTACTAAACCAAAGACAGGTGTAACAACCTTGCTCTTTACCGAGGGTCCTTCTCCTCCTCACTGCCCCCCCGGCCCCCCAAAAAATGACATACGCCACTGCATGCAGATATTCTTTCTTTTAATAAAGTCATGGTCGACTGGCATACGCCCTGTCAGAGTAAACTACAATCTGACATCACTAACTTACCTGCCAGCTTTGAGTACTTTAAGTAACCCCCCCACCCCAGGTCACATTATGAGTTCGCTATCGTTACTCACAGATTGAGCAGCACTTTCTTTCTCTCTGTTTTGCAGCTCTTTTCCACCCGCGCTGTTTGTTGTCTCTGCCGGGACGTCGAAGTTAAAACAAAACGACATGATGACTGACAGCTAACGTTAGCATGAGGCCACAAAGTTGGCTTTACCACGCACTACAAACAGCACTAGCTCCACATGGCGAGCCAGTGTCGCTTTAGCAGAGCTTCTGCGCATGAGAACTACAAATCCCAGATGTTTGAGAACTACAGCGGCCGAACTCCAGGTTTAAACCTTCGTGGACACGTCCGTGTAAGTGAGCTAATGTTTTAGAGGGATATATTAAAGGAACTTTAAGCACATTAATGTACATTTCTGTAAAAAAAAACAAAAAAACAACCACGTATAAAATGCTGTTATTAATTCCGGACTCACACTACCATGATGCCTTTCGCCGGCAGTTTGGCGCCTGCGCACTAACTCCGGATCGGGATTCAGATCTGTTAACTGTCACAGGAGGTCCCTGATCCTGCTCTTCTCCACTAATGTGTGACAATAATCCCTTTTTTTCCCCCTCCTTCCTTTTCAAAATGTCGACGGCAGGGATGATTTCGGTAGTTTTCTTTCCTTCATAGAACAGTGAGTATTCCCTCAAATGAATCGTTATTAAATATAAGCACGCAGCGCACAGCGTCGGATTTATGAATAGGAAAACACTGTGTGACAGCCAAACAAAAGGGATTTTGGGAGCGTTGGGATTGTGTGAGACTGTCCACAGGAAGGTATATTGTGCACAGTGTAACTATTGTGGCTTTTTATCAGGCGACAGCTTAGCTAACTAGCCTTTTAATGACAGGTCTTTTTGTATAGTACTATAATAATAATAATAATAATAATATCAGGTCATGTACCTGATGGAGTGGATGCAGCTCCACTCCAGACCACTTGCCCCCCTCTCATCTCAGGTGTGACCGCAGAAACCTCCACCCGGGGACTCCACCCTGTCAGGAATGCAGAGTAGCAAGGGTTTGCTTTTGGCATTTGACTTCGAGCAGCCAACCCTTCTTCCACTCTCGTTTGGTTACTCTGTTGATTCACTAGCGGATGCCTTTTTTTTTAAATTTACCTATCGACACCTTTAAATTATAGCAGCACCTGATGAAGTTAAAGTGTCAGCTGATGTGAGTTATATTAACTAGTTGCTCCCTCTAAAAAAAAAATCCAGGTTGGTTGACTTCCAAATTCAGTGTTGGGTAAGTTTGATATTGGACTGAAACAAGTGGTTGATAGACAAGAAAATCAATATGATAACGTTATTCGACTGTTTTTAGTCTGTTTTCAAGCTAAAATGCCAAACATTGTGTGCTTGCAGTCTCCCATTTGTAAGGGCGTGCTGCTTTTCTCTGTCTTAGCTGATAGTAATCTGAATATCTTTGATTTTTGAATTGTTGGTCAGACAGAAGAAGCATTTACCTTTGGCTTTTAGGAAGTTGCAATGCATTTTTTACTATTTTTCTACATTTTATAGACCGAACAGTTAATTTATTGATCGAGAAAACATTAAGCAGATTTTGCAATAATGAAAATAATTGTTCATTGCAGTGGTGCACTGGATTGTAAGTTAAAAAAACATGCAGTGTTACAACCTATCAAAACAGGGCCACGTGTTTTTGCTTCAACTTGCCATAAAGCTGCTATTGTTTATTGTTTCTTTATTTTCCTCGAAGGTGCATGCACACTACAGATGCAGGATGCGGTGCTGTCCCACCTCAACGCTCCACCTTCTGCGCTGTCTGCGGTTACGCTCGTGTACCAGGAGAGGAAAGAGCAGACTGCCTCTGTGGATTAGGGAACTATGGGCTTACATGAGCTTGCTTGTGCAGTCACTTTACTTTAACTCCCTCACAGACTCGGATGTGGTTTTCGACTCAGTCTTTGAACCTGTGTTTTGGACTGTGGATTATGTCACCCGTTGGTTTGGCACGGTGAGTGTGTTTTGTGGTCTGTGCACTTTGATTAGTTACCGGTAGTTTTTAAGTGATGAAAGCTCTCTAATGTTCGATTTCTCTCTTTGTGTGACAGGTGTTTGTGTGCCTGGTGGTGATACTAGTCAGCTCCATTGTGGGGATTGCCTACATGGTCCTACTGCCTCTGATCCTCAACACATACTCCCCTGTGTGGATTGCTTGGCATGTTTGCTATGGACATTGGAACATCGTCATGATTGCTTTCCACTACTACAAGGCCACCAAGACTTCCCCTGGGTACCCCCCTACAGTAAGATATCAGCTACACTTTTCTGCTGCACCACAAACATTTTGTATTCACCTGGGCTTGAATTAAACTTTATTTATCATTTAATAATGCAACAAAAATGACTTCTTTCAATCAGGAAAAAAATGACAGTCCCTTTGTGGCAGTCTGCAAAAAGTGCATCATGCCCAAACCAGCAAGAACCCACCACTGTGGTATTTGTAACAGGTGAGTCAGTTTTCTTCTGTTCTATTATTTGCTTAATTCAGGGCTCAGCAACCTTTACTCCCAAAAATAAAAATCTGTCCGGAGCTGCTAAACATATCTGTGCCTTTTATAATGCCAATATCTCACCGCAGTCAGCTGTAAGCAAGTAACACTGGTGGTGAAAGCAAACAAATCTGATCACACACACATCACATTTCTCTTTTTCTTCTGACACTTTTCTTGTTTTGGATTTTGAATCCATAGTTAGCCGAACTAGGGAGATTCAGGACTTGTAGGCCAGTAACTGCTTTCAAGGTTCAGCAAAATATAGAGGAAAAGGCGCCAGGTCAGGATGTAACGTATGACGCACATTTTAGTTGATGAAATGAAAGTGTATATATATATATATATATATGATTTTGATGTGACTATCATTTGTCTCAGTACTCAAAGTACACTAAAAGTGTCCTGGTTACAGGGGCAGATCTTGATGGGTGGCGTGGGGTGTCAAATTCTGTCAAATTTAACACATTAATTTAGAAACATCTTACATACTTATATAATATAATAGATATAAAATAATTAAAATAAAACAATTTAGGCCCCCTTTACATATTTCTATTCAATGGTTTACTAACATGCCACATTAATACTTTTGAGTTAAAATATCGTCATTTGGGGACTTTATAGTTCCTAGCAAATATTGATATGTATTTGCAATTAAATCAGCATATATTTCTGCCTCCTGTAAGTCTCCATGCCACCCTCTTGACACCCTCTTGACACCCTCTTGACACCCCATGAATATTTCTCTAGTTCTGCCTCTACTTGGTTGACCAAGATCCTCTCGATTGTTATGTGGAATACAAAGGACTTACAGGACAGTATGAGACTGATCATTATCTTTTTCCTCTGCAGGTGCATTCTGAAAATGGATCATCATTGTCGTATCCTTTTGTGCTAACATTATTTAATGTGTGACTTATAATTATGTGACTATGAAGAGATTTTCCTTAATGTTAGCATCTCAGCCTGGTTGAATAACTGCGTGGGTCACTTTAACCACCGTTACTTCTTCTGCTTCTGCCTCTTCATGACCTTGGGCTGTGTCTACTGTAGCATCAGTGGCAGAAACCTGTTCCTAGATGCATACAAAGCTCTTGAGGTGAGATGCTCAAACTCACACCACACTGTTGGACTGTTGGTGCTGGCCTGCTTGGCGTTTTGTCCTTGTAAGGCTTGTTAGGTTTTGTCTGTTAATTTTCCTCCATGTCTGGTGTCTTTCTCTGTGGGGCTTAACTGTTCCCGACTGACGCTGCCTTGTTTCTGTCTTTAACACTCGGCTTTGTGTACGCGGGCTGTTCCATTAGCGCTTTAAGCATTTGGACACGGAAAAGCCAGGGGTACCAGTAACAGGGATGGGACTTCTTATAGGGCTTCTCCCTCCTGGCCAGGTACAGGCTCATAAATACACACACAGTAACATGCTTAAGCTTATGTGTTTTTGTTATCTGTCAGTAATGTAGTATCTGCTTTTTGTAGACCAACTATCAGACATCTGCTCCTCCGTACACCTTTAAGGATAAGATGATTCATAAGAGCATCATCTACATGTGGGTGCTTACCAGGTAAAATGTGTTTCATGCTGCCACTTGCCATATGTAGGACCATGCCAATTAACTAAAAACAGGTTTTGTTTATGTAAGAGTATGAAATAAATCTAAATCGACTTCACATTTGAGCATGCTGTTGCTCACGGCTGCAAAAAAACAAGACGTGGATGGAGATAAAACCCCTCCAGGAAGACAAAATAATTAAATGTTTCCTATATGTAAACTCTGACTACGACAGAGACCTCCGCAGTCTGATTGACAGGATATTTTATTGCTTCCTGTTAGTACAAAACAATAAACTGCGTTGATTTTTTTTATACCAACTCCCAACACGCCGTACTATAAATTACATACCGTTAACTGTCAGTGTATGTAGTCTAGATTATCTTTGCAGCGGATTAAATAAAATGTTTTTTGTTCTTTTAGCACGGCGGGTGTGGCTCTGGGAGCTCTGACTCTTTGGCACGCAGTTCTTATATCTAGAGGAGAGACGAGCATAGAAAGACACATTAACAGCAAAGAAACAAAGCGAATGGCAAATCGAGGGAAGGTGAGCATGTTAGACATTTTTTTTATGATAAGCAACAAATCATAAATTGAATGGCGGTGACCTTTTTACATATTTTTTTATTTTTTATTTTTTAATTGCTCCCTTTCCTTTTCTTAAATTGCTCTGGCAGGTGTACAGAAACCCTTACAACTACGGCAGCCTGAATAACTGGAAAGTCTTCTTTGGCGTGGAGAAGAGAAGGTGTGTCTCACTGATGTTTGTAATGATTTTCTATGAAGGCGTCCATACATCAGATATGAACAGTGCTACCTTGTACTTCCTGTAAACTCTGTTTTATGTTTTGTCTGTAGTCACTGGCTGACGCGTGTTCTACTTCCCTCTGGACATACCCCACTTTGTGATGGTTTGAAATGGGACGTCTTCCCAGTTAAAAAGGACCTAATACCTGTATGACAGACGGCATACTTGTAGCCTAACTTCAGCAGTCTTTGCTGTGTCCAACCTGTTCTGGTTGACTTAAAGGATCCTTGCATGGTGGCTCCTTACAGCTCAAGAAATGGGGTCATATCAACTTCCAATACCTCAAAAACCTGCTGCGGCATTGCTCATGGACAGTCTACAATTTTTGAACGGTTTGTTCTCTACTAGGTTTTACTGAGTATTACAAACGGGTCTTAGCTGCCTGTGAGCTAATGACGGGTTTGATATTTTTATAAGTCACTTGTACTGACTAACATATTATTGGACTGAAGTACATTTAGAATCATGATTTTTTTTTTTTTTTAAAGCAAACTATCTCTAAGAAAAGAAAAAACATATAAGATTTAGGAAATAATGGTTCTTCCTAACTCCTACAACTCCCTTTTCCATGTGCACACTCCAGTCCAATATTATCATTTGAAATTAACTTTCAAGTTAAAATTGCAGTACCATGATAATGTGTTATTTATCTGTATTTTGTACCAATTAAGTTAATAAATCTTTATAAATGGCTTTATTTAAATAATTGGAGTGAGTGAGTATTCATTTATTACCAAAGATGTTCCTTCACTGTTATTACACATACACAGGTTGTGTTTATTACATCAAACTCTTTAAATTTATGGCACTTATGCATAAAAAACTATAATTGATTATCTATCAGTTTTATTGCCCCAAGATGACTGAGCAGCTTCAGTGTTATGTCACAGTGTTGCTTTGGCAGACAGACCCAGCGACATGCTGCTAGTAAGGGAGGATTATTGAGATGCCTACTAGATTTGATCTGCTGATTCATACGAACATCTTACGTCAGAAACATGCAGCTACATTAGTGGAGATGCACAAAGATTAAAGCAAATGAGCAAGAGAAGATTTGAAAGTTTCTTGCTGGCATGAAAGTAATGCAAAGAAAAAAATATTAGATCTTTTGCATTTAATGACTTTGATGAGAAGACATTTAGAAAATGGTTGGTGATCTTGTGAGTTAAAGGGAGAATGCAAGAGACAGAGTTTGTCTGATAAAGACAGGAGATTAAGGGATGATAACAGATTTCAGTTGGTTCCAGCCCTCTTTTACCTCAAATCCTCCAACGCCATCTGAAACTGACAACACACACACACTTGTCAATACTCAATCTTCCAGCAGATGTCAGTGCTCAATATGTCATGGCTTGGTCAAAATCTGTGCAGTATGTTGTGAGGATAAGAATAATTGATCATCTGCTGTTTCAATTCAATTTGGAATATAATTAGAATAATTAGGAACAACATACTTTTAATTTAAAACTGACTGCACACTATTCACTTATTTTGACCATTTCCTCTCCTGTTGATACTTGAGTATGCTTGTGTGTTACACTTTCACTATTTTGAGTTTCACGTTTTCTGCTAACTGTGCTAACTGCTGTGATTGCAGGCAACCAATCACATTGATTTATAAAGTCCAAAGGTTAAGCTAAGCATAATCTATACGGTGCAATGATGTCCATACCTTCATTATGTGCCACCATGGTAACAACCCTATACACCCTTGAACAGATTCAGTGTTTTCATGAAGGCCAGGCTCAAGTTTAACTAATTGGCTTTGGAGTGTAGAAAAGTATTCCACCACACACACTTCTCCAAATGCAAAGTGTAACCCTCTGCTTTATCAGACTCCTGAACCTATTTATATTGGGAGCTGTTTTTACTATTAGCTGCAAATGTTATAAATGCACAAAGAGCTATGTCTAGGATATAGAGTAGATTAAATTGGACTGGATTAACTTGCTACCAGACAGAGATACAACATAATCCGATATAGGTTTTAAGGTGATGGTTTTATTTTTGCTAAATACAAACATACTGTATTTGAACTGGCAGATTTTTAGTTTTGCATTGTATCAGGCTGTTCTCACACTATTTACAATGAAACTGTAAATAGCTCAGTTACATTAAAGAGGGGATTAAAATTTTGTAGGAGGGACCAACAACAACAAAAGCTGGTTCTTAATTTATAAGTTGTATAAATGAAACTCAAGGTGTGTGTGTGTGTGTGTGTGTGTGTGTGTGTGTGTGTGTGTGTGTGTGTGTGTGTGTGTGTGTGTGTGTGTGTGTGTGTGTGTGTGTGTGTGTTTTATTGCAAATGCCAGATAAGCACTTTGGCTGTGGGGAAACGTCAATGAGCCACTTATCTTATCTTAACAATAATTAAACAGAACATCTTTCGCCTTGCATTTCAAACTAAAACCTATGTTAACACCCTACATACAAACCATTGACTGTATATATATATATATATGTATATACAAACATGTAACTCAGTGATAATAATCCAGTTCCGTTTTGTGACTGTTTTTATTATTATAAAAAATTTGCTTGTTCACAAAGTTAAATTAACTGGTTAATTATTTGCAATACGCACTATTATTCTGGAGGGGTCACATCTCAGTTTCCGCTCTTATTCTGATGAGCTTGACGCAGGACAGAGGAATTAATCCAAACTGCGCATGCGTGCAGCCTGATAGGGATTTAATTCTAGATCAGTGCAAACAGATTGTGCAGGGGGGAGCTCCATCCACTATGTTTCAGGGGGCATACGGATATTGATTGCAGCCTTTATTTTGGGGTTGGGGGGGGGGAGAAGCTCTTGAGGTTTCCTGGAGGCTCTGCGGGGCCAGACTGGTCTCCCAGCCCGCCATCCCTGCACGGACACACTGCTCCCGGTTTGTTTTCTGTCAACCTGCTGGATCGCATCTTCGGCTGGTCGTCGCCTTCAGGATCCAGGGAAAACTTCTGGGAAACAAGTTCGGATGTGGCAAGCAAACTGCAGACGAATGCATAATTTTGCAGACTGGATTTCCGGTAGGCAAAATGAATCTGAGCTCGTGTTTGATCTAAAATACTGATAATAATAATAATAATAATAATAATAATAATAATAATATAAATAATAACGAATAAAATACAGAGTAGCTACATATCTTAAATTACACAAAATCGTGTATATAATTGTGATAGTGCATGGACATTTTTTTTTTTTAATTTTTAAATATGTGAAAAGGAAAAGTCAGAGATGAGTTGAGCATGAGGTTCAGGCGCGTGTCCCCGTCAGCTGGCAGTACACGTGACGTAAACACCGCCGCTCGTCTGACCTCACAGGAACAAGGAGTGCTGAGCTGTCATTATTCCCTGATGATGCTTTTCATATAAGGCACCTTAATTTTACACTATCTTTAATTTGTGTAACCGACATGTTCACATGTGCATGTTAAAGCTTTTTGTTTAACTTGGCAATATGTGGCAGATGTGTAGGTAGGTGATGTTTCTCCTTGGTGTGGAATGTATACAGGGACAGTGATGGGAGGCTGTGTCGGGAGGAGTAGGATGGATGGACAAGGGAGTGCCCGGAGCTCGACAAGGAGCAAAAAACGTGGAGGTAAGTAGCTGGAACACAATATATATGGATATTTTTCTGGATTCAGTAGAATCTTTGCTGCACGAATTTAAGCTATAAGCATTAGAGATACTGTCCTTAAGCTAGAAACTCGTAATGAGACTATGTCTACAGCTTACTTTTATTTACATACAGAGAGTGCTGTTACAAATTAGATTAAATTAGATTATTATTTTGTTGTTGCCAAAGGGAAACTGTGTCTGTGGTGGTGCATTAAACCCACATCCTCTGGCACATCATACACATAATTATATCAGGACACTTTGCAGTACAACACAGCAATTTTCACAATATTACACCCTGCACAAGAGAGTGCAAAGGGATATATACATATGCAGCACCAGCCAGATGAGGCCTTTAACAATTCATGCATTTATTATAAAATGCAGGTTTGGAGACAGGATTCCTTGCTGTTGCACTGACGTCTTGTCTCGGTCTGAAAGCTTACTGTCTCAGGTGTTAAATGTTTCAGGCCTCATGGCTTAGTCATGTGTCTAATCTGTGCTGAGGACCTTCCCCGACAGGACAGTGTTTTATATAAACACTGGTCAATCCATTCCTTGTGAAAAAAGCGGCTGTGCACTCAGCTGAAATGTCATGCATTATGTATTGAGCAGCAACCCGGGGCCTGCACGGAAGAGTTTTCATATCAGAGTTTGACCTACTTGGTGCATGATGTCGACCTGCAGCAAAATATATTTACATGCAGAGAGAGATCATTTACCTGCAAGACAGACCTGATGACCTGTCAAAACATCCTCATAGACTCTAACCTTCTACCCTGGTGAGAGGCAAACACAGACGAGACAGCCTCTGTAATAAACTGAGTTGTGGAAACCCAGCATGTAAGGGACAGATTTGCATGTATTTTTATAAACTGCAGCGCCTCAGTGAATAAACACGATCACCTGTTGGAGGCAGTTCAGAGAGGTACAGTAGCTTCTCCTTCCAACAGACTGTAATAGTCTGACAGGGGTTTATTGTCTGTTAATAGGTTTAACATGTTGCCTTTGGGTATTTCTATCCTGTCTCTAAATAGAACTGATAGGATTAGACCTCTTGTGTAAAGAAGCTACCTTCTGGCTGGGACATCAACTTACTCTGCCCATAAATTGGGCTTCTTTCCATGAACTGATCTTGTGTTATTTTTAGATAGTGAAGTACTTGTTATTAGAAGGTTTAGAAGTAGAGGGACCGTGGTTACTTTTAAGCACCTCGGGAAGTGTCACGACGGTTAACTGAGCTCTGAATCTGAGCCTGCACATCGCGGAAAACTAGATCAGGTGGTTGAGTTGTCAATTGTTGCAGCGCGTTTGCGGCAAGCTGGTTGGACACAACAAAGCTGTCCTCTTCCTCGGGGTCGACGTCTGTTCGCTCATTAATGCTGACTTTAAACTGACTCACATCAAACCTCAGGGAAAGCACAGCTATGGGAGTACCAAACTCAAGGGAATACAACTACTATCATGCTCCAAACACACCCTTTAGGATTTTGAAAAGTGAGTATAGATTTTTGTGTTGGGTGAAAGGAATGCTTTTATGTTTGTGCATCACACTGTGTTTTGGCATAATTTGTCTCAGAGGGTTTTGTGTATATTGAGTTCAAGATTGCCTGAGCTGTTGATACTGTTGTTAAGGGTTTTTTAGTTTTTCTTGTGCATTTTGTGTATCAAACAATGTTTACTGAAAACAGAAAGAGGTCATAACAAAAGAGTTTTACAGCATCCTCTTACTGAGATCCAGGCAAAGTACACTGACGTTACTTGGATGGAGATACTGATTTAATTCAGTTAGGTTGGCAGTTTTCATATTTAGAAGATGATTGATTATTATATAATGTTTCTGAGTTAATGTAGCTTTCAGCATTGAGTGGATGTGAGCTGTTTACATGCAACGTGCTGAACACTGACATACTACAGCTAGTACAAATAGTGGTAACAGTAGTTGTTAGGATACTAAATAGAAGTGGTGCAGCAATAATAAAAGCCAACTTTTAGTCACATGAAACTAAATCAGTTCCTTGTCTGGTAGATTTGAGGCAGTTTTTCCATCCATCAGGAATGTTTAAGCTTGAGGAAAAAAACTTGAACCACTGACTTCGTTTGAAATTGCTAAGCTGAGGTTCCAGGTAGCTGCTGTCGGCTTACAGATGATGACACGCTGTCAAAGCCGATCTCTCTGTAGACTCACGCTGCATTGTACACAGTCAAGTTTAAACAGTCAGGCTCACAGACTCTACAGCAGTGAGGTGGATATAACATTAAATACTGCAAGTTATTTACATCCACCTCATTTCTAGTAAGCACAAAACCAAACCAGAAAGGTTGTTATGTTACAGTATGTACAACCAGGACAAGCTCCAATAAAGCGTGTTTACCTCAGTGTGCAACGTGCTGTGATCTGTGTTGGTTCTTTCAAACTTCATGACTTAAGAATGCCCTGTGAACCCTAAGAGCTGAAATCTAAGGATTGGTTTTGGCCTCATATCGTCTCTGAGTGGGTTTAAGGATACTCAGGCTTGAAAATCATTTTCCTGTCACTGTCGTATGCATACTTCTTGAAGCCATTTGTCATCACAATAGATCAGAGCAACTTGCAATTATCTCAGTTTACCTTGCTGTCAGTCAGGTTGCTTGTTAGGATTCCAGACGTCTGTAATATTAACATTTTGTCTGGCTGACTCTTTTGCAACTTTGCAGCTGCCTGTCTACAATAACAAATGCAAACACGATTTCTGCTTTATTGTAATTATGGCTTTGAAAATGTGAAGAAAGTTGATTTGATATTACAATGTTGCCTTCTATTAATGCATAAAATGTAAACTATAACATTTGTAAGTGTGTGTACTTCTGAATGAACACATACGCAGGCACAGATGCAAATGAGCTGAATCCAAATTGGCAACGTGACTCTTAGGCGATCGCCTCATCTCCTAAGGTCATGGTGTCACACTTAACATCGTGCATTGTTAAAGGATAGAAAATGATTTAATTCTGTGCATATTGTATCATATCACCAGCTTAATAAACAGATGTAGACAACAGACTTGTTATGAAACATTTTGCATCACATATCAAAAATAAATATCTGACAGAAGTGAGGTCTAATTTCTAACTCTCAGAAATGTGATCATGTGATAATTAATTTGTAGCTTTGTGTTTGTATTTCCGTGTTTTTGTTGTTCCTGACTTGTTTTAGTCCCGAGTGTTTTTGCTTGCATTCATTGGCCAAAGAGGGTTCATCTCTCCAACCAATGCCTTATGGGATAGGGGCAGATAAATCCTGTTATGTGGAACCTGATTACTGCCTATAATCCACTGGCGTGTGCTTGTGTTTGTGAGCGCATGTCAGCGCACATGTGTGTGTTACTAGCCACTGCAGTAATCCACAACACTATAAATAATCACTTTGATTTCTCTCACTGTGTGAATCACACTGACTTTCTTGGTATGCAGGTACAGTGGATATACCATACATGCCAGTGTTGAAACACCTACAGTAGGTGTATAAAACTGGTTGATTTATGGGCTGTGGGACTTCTGACAAATTAATATCACAGATGCAGCGGGGTGCAGGCTATACATTGAGCCTTTTCAAGGGTTATTTTTACCAAATACTGAAGGTCCTTAAGTGTGGGAGTCTTAAGATGAGCTTTTCGTCCTTGTCAGACCTCACTGGGGTTTACACGAGTATTTGACGCATTAAGCGTCTCTAATGTGTCTTCCATAGACTCTATCATACTGTATATTGGGAAATGTTTGTTCTGCTCATAATATTTACTTATCAGTGATGATGCTTTAAGTTCAAAGACTATTTAAAACCTTAAAAAAAAGTTTTTTGTCATTTACTTTTCCAGAAATTCTAGCTCTGCTTAGTAACACATTTGAATTACACAAAAATATTTCTTGTTAAACATATCTTATTTCTTAGTAATGGTAAAGAGCAGTTGTGACCTGAGCCAACCCTCTACAGCAGGTTTATCAGAGCTTCACTACTATTTACTATACTAACAGCTACTTGTTTTTACTTTCCTATAATCCCCTGTAGCTTTAATTTAGAGAAAAACTGAAATTGGTTGCATGACTGTCGAGCAGAGTTAAGCCCTGATTATGTTGAGTTACAGTCTTCAGGATCAGTTCGGACATCAGTCTTGAGGTCAGATTTAACACTGCCTTCTTTTTTCCTTCAGGACGTAATGAGCCTCTCAAGAAGGAGCGCCCAAAGTGGAAGAGTGAATACCCAATGACGGATGGCCAGCTGAGGAGTAAGAGGGATGAGTTTTGGGATACGGCTCCGGCCTTTGATGGACGGAAAGAGATCTGGGACGCACTCAGAGCAGCAGCCCTGGCTGCGGAGTGCAATGACCTGGAGCTAGCACAGGCTATAGTGGATGGAGCCTGCATTACTCTGCCACACGGTATGAAACCACCCACAGGCACATAAACATGTGCTTCATTCGGCTACCAACTGTAAATGTTCTGGAACACAAATGCATAACTCACTGTAATAATTCTCAAAATGTCAAAGGACAGTTTGCAGAAGGCCATGCATCAGTTGTTCAGAGATTACTGCTGTAATAGTTACATAATAGTCGCAGTGCTGCGTGACCACTGTGAATGGATTGGTGCACAGAAAGCCATGACAGAGGTGGAAAAAACACTCTGTTCGTGCATAGTGTTCTTGCTTTTAGATGTTTCGCTAGCTCAAGGGCACTGGTGTTGTTGATGTAAATGTGATGTAAGTAAATATGATGTAAATGTGATGGCCTCTGATTTATTGACAGTGGTTGGAAATACAGGAGGGGGGTTTGTGTATCACGTATAAAGTTAGTTGCTGTTACTGATGAAAAGGGTTTTTGGAAACACGTTGTTGATGTAGGTCATTTCTCCCTCTGTAGGCTCTCTCACGGAGAGTTATGATGAACTGGGCAACCGCTACCAGCTCCCGGCCTACACTTTAGCCCCACCTGTCAACCTAATCAGCGAAACGTGCAGTGAGAGCAAAGTCTCTGATTCCACACAAAAACAAGCTCAACCCCCTCCGTGCAGACAAGAGTTCCAGCTGCGGGTGCGACTGTCAACAGGTAATAAACACCTAATATGACCCATATATACATATATATATATATATATATATATATACTGTATTTATAAAATATGACATTTAAATCTTAAGAACTACAAGTTATGTAGTTTTTTTTCCATGACATGTCATCGCATCTTGTCTCATCTATGCTGGAGACTGATTTATAATTCATAGCTTGTCAGTGTCTCACAGCTTGTTCTTCAGGAATCTGTGTCAACTCTATTTATGCTTTGTGGTTTTCTTAGGAAAGGATGTGCGTCTGACAGCCAGCATGGCGGACTCCATTGCTGAGCTAAAGAAACAATTGAAAGAACAGGAAGATATTGAGGTGACCTGCCAGAGGTGGTTCTTTTCCGGGAAGCTCCTGACTGACAAGACTCGTCTGCAAGACGCCAAGATCCAGAAGGACTTTGTCGTCCAAGTGATTGTCAATATAAACCCTCCAGTCATAGCTAATTGAGGAGTGAGACAGAGGGCTATGGATTGAAGAAAATATAAAGGACGTGCCAGAAAGGGGGGCAGGAATATGTGTAGGGCTTGAAATCCTTTTCCAGTGGGTACTGCAGTGGAATTTTGTGTACATTTTTATATACGAAATTATTGCTTTTATATTGCTCCTTTTTGTATTTTTTTCCTTTTTCCAAATGAAGTAAGACTATTGAAAAGCACTGAAACACTTTAGATCAAAAGTAGAGTCCTAAGATGCACATCCCAATATCTGTCTGTCTGTCTGTCTGTCTGTTTGTGTGGACATTAACTCACTGCTCTATTGTTTACACTCGTCGTGTGTTTGTATATACTTGTGCTTATTGATGAACTGAATACGTGAATACTGAATCGGTTCACCTGGGGATCCGGATAAGGAAATCCATTCTATTTAATTTTTTTAAAGATTTCTGTCATGCGATTTGAGAAGTAGGGTAAGGATGGCAGAAAACTGTAGAGAAAAAGAAAAAAAATTAAATATCAGTTTCCATTTGTGTTGTCTGGTCATGTAACTATGTGCACACTACATTTTCATTTCATAACTGTATATTGATAATAAAGACTGGGAACGTAAGGATGGCACCTTGATAAGGTAGTAAGAGAGGATCAGATTTGTTTTTTTATTTCACCACTCCAAACAAGATACTGTAGTGTTATGTACAATATGATGCTCACTGTACTTGAATAAACAATCAATAAATATTGTAAATTTAAAGATATTCTCTGCTTTATTGGTTTTTCTTAAGTACCACGAGTCTCTATAGAAATGTTTAAAGTTGCTGATGGACTTTACTGTCCTGTGTTCAAGTTGTGTTTGTCTTTTGTGGTATATTTGAAAATAAAAATACCTTGACCAAAGAACCAGAAGGGGTCCCAGGGTAAATCTGGAGGACCACAAGATGGTTTAAGGGATATGAATGAAAAATATCTATTTATGCTACGCAGAATTATATTAATATATATTAATTAACCTTAACCTTGAACCCTGATTTAAAGGTTTATGAGCCAGAAAGGTTGGAAACCACTGTATTAAAGGTCTAATCTAATCAGAGTACAATTGATGGTGAATAAACAGGAATAGGGCTAATAGGAACAGTCATAGAAGAGTGTGTGTGTAAGCCAATCAAGGTCCAAGTATTAGCTTTTTATTAAGCTTTCAATTGTGTCACACAGTCTCTGTTTGCCCAGTTGTTGAGGTTTTCACACATGAAGATCTTTCACAACCAGTCTGACTGATCTCCAAACTGTTTCATCAGCAGTCATTAATAACACCATTAATAACCAGCACATCAGCCAGCATCATTAATCAATACGACACATTATTAAACCATTTATCAAACTAATAACTATACGCAGTCAACATTATCATACTTTAACAGCAACCTCATGTTTGTGTAGTGGTGACAAAACGTTAAACACTATAGGCCTACATATTATTAGCTTGAATTCCACAAAACGCTCCCTGCACCAAACTCCCTTAAAGAAATATGACATTTTAACAATTCCTACCAAGTCCGTAAAAACACGTCACTCTAGAAACACGAGCTCGATAACATTGATTATCGACTGCCTGTCTGTCAATTCGGCATCGATATAAGCCACACAGATAAACTGTATTCTGTACAAACCTAACATTACAAACGCTTAACAGCGCCACCTACTGTCACAATAACACCAGCGTCGGAGACGTGAGCACGCCCGTGACGTCATTCGGCGAGCGACAGAGTCATCTGGAGCTGCACTAGACAGTCGGGGTAACGTGTTTATCTTCAACCCCGAAAAATGGTCAAATCGGGGAAACTTCGGTCCGGGACGAGCTCGAAACTCAAACGGTGGAAGAAGGGACACAGTAGCGACTCGAACCCGCAGACGAGTCGCTTCCGGCAGGCTGCTAAAAGCCGCTTCTTCAGCCGACCCGCCGGTAAGCCTCCCACCACACGTGGGTCTCCGGCTAGTGCTAACGTTATCTAGCGTCAGCCATTTAACTTGTAGCAGCTCACTTTACGTGTTGCGCCGTCAAATGTTCACCAGGATCCCCCAATAAAGTTGTCAGCGGAGACTCTAACTCGCTATCTCTCTGTGTTTTCTCTCTGGTCAGCTGAAAATGACTCGTCAGGTAGTTCAGTCTTCTAGTTTACATGGTAACACAACTGTGTGTTTGTGGTTGTGTGAGCCAAAAAGACACACATGTCGTTAAGTTAAGATAATTGTTCATTAATGCTGATCTCCTAAAGGGCTCAGTCCTTGAAATAGACAGTATTGGCAATAGGTGTGTAAATAAATGTGCAAGTATTTGGCATTTAGTTGTGTGTTGGCTCTGTACTCCAGCATATTGGCTTTAAATGTATGATTTTAAATCTAATGTTTGGACTTTAAGCTGTAATTTGAGGCTGTTTACATCCACACATGGGGTGCAGGAACAATAGTGCCACATAGAGTCCCTCAATTTCAGGTGATCAGAAGTTGGCTTATTGGACAATTATGGCAACATATATTTTGTATTTGGTTTCAAATCCATTGCAGTCAATGACAGCTGTAAGTATGTAATCCATAGACATCATCAAATACTTGGTACCCTTCCTGGTGATGCTCTGCCAGGCCTGTGTCGCACCAATCCTCAATTCATCCCTGTTACTGGAGCTTATTGCCTTCCCTCTGGTCCTCAGCAAATTAAACACATACTCAGAAAAGATCTATCTACGTCAGATCTATCATAGTTCATCTGCATTGTCTTAGAATATGGGGGCTAAATATAAGAAAAGGGCTTTTAAATCCAGCATTGTTCACCCAGCATTGATAAGAAAATCACACCTGAAGCTGGAAGTCAGTACGCAGCCTTGTGGTTATTTCATGTCCAATTCTGTGCCTTGGAATATAGAGTAAAACAACAGAAGATTAGTCTAGAGACCTAAAGGCAGCACTGTAGTTGCCTTGTTGGTCGCCAGTCTGTTATGTATCACTGTTTATGGCCAAAGTCCCTTGACTCTGATGTCTGAATGCAACCCCATCGTGCTCTAGGACGGCTTCTATTGTCTTACAGGGGGTCCAGTTGAATGTCATGTTGTGCCTCTTTTTCTCCCTACAGGTAAGAGCGATCTAACGGTTGACGCTCTTAAGCTGCACAATGACCTTCAGGCGGGTCCGCTGGAGCTCGGCGGGAGCGCCCGTAAAGACACCTGTATGGAAGAGGAGCCAGATGGTGCGTTTTCAGAAAGGACCTCTGGCACCTTCCTCAGCGGCCTGTCGGACTGCTCCAACCTGACCTTCAGGAAGGTGCAGCGCTACTGGGAGTCCAACTCAGCGGCTCACAAAGAGGTAGGCGCTACAATGAATGTAGATCAATAAATAACTGCATATGGCTGATTTGTAATGGTTGTAGTCAAATCGCTGTTTTGCGTTAGGAGCAAAAGCTGAACAATTTAGGGTGTGCCTGATGTGTCTCATAGATCTGTGCAGTGTTGGCAGCTGTTACCGAGGTGATCCGTGGTCAAGGAGGGAAGGAGACTGAAACTGAGTATTTTGCTGCTTTGGTGAGTGCTGCTTCTTTTTTTTTTAAATATAAATATGTTCACTAAGACATTACCAAACAACTTCAGTATGAGTGAACCAGTGTATTGTGTCTGAGAATTAAACATGCCTGTGCTTTTTGTAGATGACCACCCTGGAGGTTGTGGATTCAGCAGAGTCACAGGCTGCGGTGGCGTACCTCCTGAACCTCGTCATGAAACGGTTAGACTGTAACCACTTTTTTTTCTTCCTCCGAAACAAACTCCTTCAGGCATGTCAAGGCAAATTATAGAGGACGTGTTTCTTATCTGATTGGTGTATTGTGTTTTCTAGTGTTCCTGCTCCAGTGCTCATGTCTAAGTTCTCGGACACCACCAAGGCTCTGATGGACATCATGTCGAAACAGGCCACGTCCGAGACCGCCTCGGCTCTCCGATGGGTGAGTAGATTTTAGCCGTTTTGCTTTTCTATTATTCATTGTTGAAGACCGCAGAAGATATTTATCTAGCCATCTTTGCGTCTATAGATCCTGTCCTGCCTGGCCACTCTGTTGAGGAAGCAGGATGCATCAGTCTGGACTTACCCAACAACTCTTCAGGCTTACCACGGCCTTCTCAGCTTCACAGTGCACAGCAAGCCTAAGGTCTGCATCACCAGCCTCATAGTGACCGCCTCAGGATATTACATGTTGAATTCAACATTAAAAGTCCAGTGTGTAACATTTAGGAGGCTCTATTGGCAGAAATACAATATAATATAAGTATGTTTTCATTAGTTTATAATGTGAATATAGGAATCATTATGTTTTCGCTACCTTAGAATGAGCTGTTTATTTAATTATCACTAGATGCCACCAAATCCAACACACTGGACCTTTTAAATGAGATGCTACAATTTTGGTACCGTTTCATTTTATGTCCTTTTGTCTTTTTTTCCTCTCAGGTACGTAAAGCAGCACAGCAAGGTGTTTGCGCCATTCTCCGAGGAAGTGACTTCCTGTTTAGAGATAATGCACCAACTCACCACCCTGCTGCAGTGACCACAGCCAAGTTCTGCATCAAAGAAATGGAGCAGGCAGGAGGTACGATTGCTGTGCTGAAGATAATGACTCATCAGATTCTGTGATTCTCCAGTATGTTGTAGCTTATGTCTGTCTGTTTTTTTTCTTCCCCCCCACAGGCAGCAAAGAGGACACTACCACACTTCATGTGCTGGGTCTCCTAAAGGAGTTGATGGGGACATTTCCTCTGGGAGCTGTCAAATCCTGTTGTGAGACTCTGCTGCGAGTGATGACACTCAGCCATGTGGTGAGAGCACACTTACATTCATAGGTGCAGCCAGATAGCCTTTGTTCCTTTTGTAGCTATTTTTTTTTAAAATATGGCTACTGTGTTTCTGGCTGTAGCTGGTGACGGCGAGTGCCATGCAGGCCTTTCATAGGCTGTTCAGCGGGAAGCCAAATGCTTCAACCCTCTCACCAGAACTCAACGCACAGATCATCACGGTGAGGAAAATGCAAACAAAACAAAAGAGCCAAAGTCATAATGTGGTGTATAAGCTAATAGCTAATTCTCATCCTCAGGCTCTGTATGACTACCTGCCCAGTGAGAACGACCTGCAGCCTCTGCTGGCCTGGCTCGCTGTCATGGAGAAAGCACATGTTCACTTGGCTGGGTAATAAACCGTGTTAACAAATTATTTTCTTGTGATTATCATCTTTTTTTTCTAGTCAGATTAGTCAACAGTCTTTGTATCTTTTGTCTAGTTTACAGAGTTCTCTGAGTCTGGGTCACCTCCCTCGCCTCTTCTCTGCCGCCACGTCCTGCCTGTTGTCGCCTCACACACAGGTGGTTTCTGCAGCCACTAATACACTAAAGGTAAAGACACTATCTTCAGGACATCCACACTGATTAACTCCAGGGTTGCTTGGAGGTGTTTCTGGATTGAAATTGAATCTTTAAAGATGTATTCCAGACAGGGAAGTCTGCAAAATTAGTAAATCCTCTTGCATGCAAGTGTCAGTTTTCATTTTGTAAAGCCCTAATTTGATGATTTATTTATATGATCCGTTTCAGACTTTGTTGACTGAATGTGTTGCTCCTCACATGGAGGAAATGGGCACGATCACTGCCACAGCCTCTGTTGGAAACCCCTCCTATGTCTGCAAAATGTTTCGGTAGGTTGCCTAACTGTTGGCCAAGCTAGCCTCAGT